GTCCTTGTGCTGACAGACTTGTTGAGATCCACATGAATTCTGTATTGATTAAATGGGTTCTGGTGTTGCTTAACAGTAGGCTCTTTCAGTAACCTCATTACTCACTATATAGCAATAAGTAGCACTTGCCATGTATATAGACACTCCTTTATTACGTGCTAATATTTTATTATCATAGTGTTGGAAAGTCATTCTGCATTGTATCCCAGTTCACAGTTATGTATAAATATTGCTGCAATTGTTCAAATTTAACAAAGTGCATCCGCTAATATTCCTAATATTAAACAAAAAGCAGTGTAATAAAGCTTGTCAACTGCTGAACTATAAAGTTCACTTAATAATAAAGGTATAAGTAAGGATTCTAATACTTCAACAAAGCAAATGAATGGGCAAAGCCCTTTTTTGATTTTTCTGACATTGTTAGGCCTGCGGCGTTTTAATAAAAGTGTAATTATAGTAAGGATTAGATTGTCGAGCTATGTAAGGGGAATGTCACCTGTCAAACTGAAACGCAGTACAAACGAGCAATTACTATAACAATGGTTCTCAAATTATGGGCTATGACATAATTGACATCTTCTGAAAGCATTGTAACAATCTCTATCGGAATGTGTTGTATTTCTTACTGGAGAGGTGCCTGAGTGAGGGCATTTTGTATTCTAAATAGATGAAGACATTACACTATTAAAAAAAAAAAATGTAGCAAACAAAATTATTGTATGTAGTTCAGAAGGCATCCAGAACACTGGAGACCATACGAGGACAAGTTTCAAAACACCTGATAAGAGTGTGCACTAGAAAAACATGCCTTATGTCTGTCTGCTCTTCCTGGGATATTTGCGCAAGTGAAAGTGCACCTAATGCACCTTTCAAGTGGGTAGCTGCCTGGATTGCAGTTTCTCCACACTTTGTCATTCGTCCACTGAGCCCCGTCGCACTAAGCAGTGAGTTACAACAGCTGAGCTACCTGTATATGCTGCAAAAGTCTGAAGCTTAAAGCCCCAACGTGAAACAAAGGGTCCAATAAAGGCTTCTGAAACTCAGAAGCCTTTGAAATGTTCTGAGATTCGAGAAGTTGTTACAATGTGTTAATAGTTTTATATCCCAAGAAAGCCTAAAGCGAATTGATAACATTTAGAAACCAAATCCTGCAGTATATGCCTATATAGCTTTGGGATGTGTTCAAAATGCTGCATGTTTCACAAACCTTCACATAATAATTCATTTAATTATATATAAATATACATACATTCATTTAATTTCACTTCTCATAGAAGTCCTTATTTCAGCAATACTACTGAAACAAAAGCAATGGCAAGACAAATCCACTCAGGTTGAGGAATCTTCCTATTTATGAACATCTCTGACAACTTGGATATCTGATCACAATAATTAAGTACTAGTGTGGGAGAGAGAGCTTTCACAGTTGGTGCCAATATAGTATTGAATGTGCCGATTAGCTAGATGTCTTTATCCCTTTGCTTAGTGTAACCTAGTGCAACGCAGTCTACCTCAATGTTCAATAAACCAGTCCTTTACATGGAAGTCATTCTGGTATTTTCCTTAATTAGTTTGCGAATAAAAATTAATGTGCTTCCAAATTCAAGTCAACTGTGAAATTTCAGCAAAGCAAAATGAAAACTTTTTTTTTTTACTGGATATCTGCTAACAGGATAAGCTTACATCCATGCTAATATACATTGTTTTTAGTACTTCTGTATGAACAGAATGTGCTATTTTAGGCCTTTCAATGTTAGCTGATTGGAGCACCAAAACGATAAGATCTTCCCTCTGCAGAACAAAACCTCAGATGCTTTCCTGCTCACTAAAAGCCTTGAGAATACTTTTCTATTTGGAATGTACTTTTGAAAACCTGAGTTCCTCCTTTTGACATATTTAAAAAAAAACAATTATGTGAAGCAAATGATGGACCTTACAAAGCCTCTTCCCTTTCTAAATACATAATAATATGCTATTTAATTGTCTTTAAACTACATGACTGTCAGTCATGAAAGCTTTTTGAAATGGTTGGAATTTACAGTTTCCACAGTGTCTTGGTCCTAAAGGGGTGTAGTAAGAGGCTTCAACTTCTATAGACTAAATGAATTTTAAGTTGTTTTTTAATAATTTACCCATAACAGTTGCTGTGAACGGAGATCTGGATCTCATACTGTTTACAACAGTCCTGAATGAACCTTTATGCTTGGTGGATGGTGATTTGGCTGTGGTACAACCTCTGATCCTTCTAGTGATAAGATCTGTATGCAAATCATAGCTGGAATGTAAGCAGAGGGATATTTATTATGTCCATGTGGTGTAAGATTGTCTTTGGATGAACATTTGTACAGTAGTTAGAAATACAGTATTGACAATGTATTTTGCAGAATTAGTCCTCAACATCTGTACCTTTTGCTGTTGAGACGAAAGAACTGTAGGGGAGGGTCATTGACTCATTTAGGAGAGAACCTTCAGGCACTAGTACAGGTTCAGTTACTCTAGTCTGTAGAGAGTCTTGCAGAGAGAGTAGGACGGTGCCATAAACACTGCATAATATACATCTGCATATGTTTAGGTCAAATGTCCTTGGTTTTGATTGTCTTTAGTTACATCCCAAAGGGTTTTTAAACTTCCACACTTCAAACCGGTCATGCTCATTTTGAAAATTCACCTTGTGTGATGTTGCAGTTTGATGCCGTTGTTGTTTTCTGCAGCTGCTGCCTGTAGGGAGATGTCGGAATACGAGATGTATAGTAGAGGTTAATTCCATGCTGGAAGAAAGACGGGGACAAAACACGTTTCAGCTGTGGAGCCTTCATTATGCGTGTGGCTCAAGCTGCTGATCTTCGTGAAGATGTCAATGTTAGTCTAGCAGATTTAAGACAGAAGAGTTTATCATGCGAAGAACTAGACTATGTATTATGGCCTCATGTGAGAATCTAGCTTTTCATTCAAGCTGATTCACAATTGGCACATTCTCTAGCAATTATTTGAGAAGTTAAGAGAGCAGTTTTTGGTTAATCTTTTTTTTCACTAATTTTGTTTGGACAGATTTACAGTTAAAAACCCTTGATTAATTTTTAAACACAGCTCTTTTCTTGTGTTGAAATATGCCCATGTACAGGAGTGCTACACTAATTAAGAGTAATAATAATGCATTCAAATATATATACGTTCTTTGAGTTGTGAGTAAAATAAAATGCAAGTGAAGATGGATAAGTTTAATACTTAACCTTTTCTTACTGAAGAGTAGTTGTTTTTGCAAGATCTCAGATTCACATTACCTGCAGGATGTGCATTCAGAAAATTAAACAAATTAGCTGAAAAATATAATTATTTTGGCATACCTTCTATACTCTGACAAAGGAGATTTAACATAAAACCTAATAAGTATGAAACTTTCAAGGAATTTCCTTTTTTCATACAAACTTATAATGGGTCCCTTTCTTCAGAATGAGTACACTGCCATCTAGTGTCTAAAGTTTAGCGTTTTTGGCAGTGCTTGTTAAACTGTTTTCAGTAAATGTACTTTTAAATTTCCCTGATAGCATTACTTAGGAAGTCCATCTCTGCTTCTTATTTTTAACAAAAAAAGACACCACTAACAGTTTGCATGGTAAACATTAACAATCTCTTCAACAAGCGAGCCCCTCTTGTCTTAAGGTTAGGATTTTGGGATATGGCGAAGCTACTTTTGCTCTTTTATAGCAATAATATGGTGGCGGCCAGTTACACTTGTAGCCACCTGGCAGGTCAATGTCATGATAACATGTACCTTTGAACATTTTAAAAACTCAGAAGACAGTGTGAATATTCCCTGCAAGTGAACTTGGATGTGAGTCTTGATTTACAAACTTCACTACATTTGAGATTCCTGTGGCAACTCTGCATTCTGCAAGTGCTTACCTTATCCATCCCCTAGCACACAAAAACAAAGCTCCTTTGCCCTGTTCAGCACCACATTCTTTAAAATATTTAGACAAGGTGGTTTTTATGATGTCTCAAATCTTATGTATAGGACTTTGATCTCTCCTTTACAATGATAAATAATGTAATTAGACAACAATCAATTGATGCATCTGTTACGAGTTTAATCTTCTGTTTACTTAGCATGCTGTTATTGCCATAAGCCTGAACAGAATCATTAAGGAAAATGTTTACAGAAGAAGATAGATATGTGGAGGGCAATAGCTAATGGAATTTGTTCTTGTTCTCTTACAACACATTTGTAAATAGGAGTGGTATCTTGGAAATGGTGTTTGTCTGGGGAATGTGCTTTAAGTTGTAAGTAATTAGAAAGTAAACCATTCAGGACTCAGGGTAGTTTTGTTCAGTACATGTGTACTGGCACAGACGAGACCCTAGTCATGTCAGCGGATTGGAAATATTTAACAAAAGTACTGGAAGTCTGACAAATTGTCCAAATCACAGATGCAGTGCTGCTGATATTATTCATAAAAAAATTAGCACACAGGTTCACATGCTTAGTGCATGACTTATTGCAGAAAACACTGAAATGTAAGTTAGTGTGCCTTACCACATGATTCACTATTATAGTGTTATTTATTAAATTAAAAATAGATTTTTAAAAATAATACAATGCAAGACTTGGGACTGTAGCTTAATTCAAAATTGGAAGAAAAACGTTGGGTGTTATAACACCAATAAAGGTTTTTAAGATCTGTCTGACTATGAAAATGGTCAAATCTGTGAAATCAGATTCTAAGGAAGGTCTAACAACATATTTCAAATAATTCTGTCTCGCATCATCTACTGAACTTTACTTCTCTATACTCACTAGAATGGACAGATTCTCATTTCATATTTTATTAGTTATATTTCATGATGTATATCATATGTGTTTGATACATATAATTCAGAATATATTTGAATGTATCACCAAAATAGACAACCACAGGATTTGTAACAATAACATTAACGAGCTCAGTTTATTTTTCTGATATTTTGAAGGCGACATAAAACATGGTTGTATACATTTTCAGGGAGACCCTCAGAAGGCCCACTGGTTGTTACGGCGATGCACTCATTCGTAGGTCAACAGCCGGGAGACCTCAGCTTCAACGTTGGAGACAAAATCACAGTGATCACAAAATCGGACTCCCAGTACGACTGGTGGGAGGGCCAGCTGAGAGGAGAGGTTGGGATATTCCCAGCAAACTTTGTATCCTACAGCTAAAAGCAACAGAAGAACTTTGTTCTAACATTGGGTTTGGTAAAGCTGCTTCACATTTCTGCATTGGGGTTTGGATTTTCATGGCTTAAAATGAAGGGGAAAAACCGCCTTAAAATGTGTATGGTGTGCCTTGTAGGTTTATTTTATTTTTGTGTTTGTTATATATTTATGCTGTACTTAACCTCGGGTGTAAATGAAGTGTCTTTGATTAAACAATTGTCTATTTATAATTTGTATAATGAGGTATCTATTGAGAGGAAATTGAAATTTTAATATGTATGTGAAGATGGACTGATCTGAGGTGGGGTTTCAAGTCCATAATGCACTGGCAAGCTGCTTGCAAAAGTCACTTCTTGTAGCCTTAACATTACGAGAAAAGATTTTGTATCTGATTAAAACAGAATGCCCAATATGCAAAACTGTAAGGGCTAACTTATGAGGCACAGTGTGTCACTATTCCAGTCCTTCTGCCCTTTAACACTACCCTCGCACATCATGGACACTTTGCAAGGTGGAAACTCATAAAATGTTGAAGAAAAAAGCAAGGCTACAGTGACCTCTTAATATTAACGTTTTAATTTCTGTGCCTGGAGACATTAATGACTTGCTCATTACCATAAAAGTACTGTTTGTTAGATAGGAAATAGAATACCACGGAAACAACACATGAGGAAGTCTAAAACTCACAACAAGAAATCATGTAAACTCCACAACTCTGCCAAACTGTACCGGGCAGTGAAGCCACAGCCTAAAACGAGACACTAACACTACATGGGCTGATAAGAAAGCCTTCAGCGTTCGTCACCTTGTAACACTGGCTGCCAAAAGAAAGCTGGCATTACTCTGTAGTGCAGCATCTTGGAACACTTATTTAAAAATGTGTGAACACTAACACTATGAGAGTTATCTTTGATGTATTAAGTTTTTTAATTTGTTCATTTTCTTTATATCACAAAATTACTGTGGCAATCTTAATCTCATTAATGTACAGGTTAATGCATTTACGATTGATAAAAGTGTAAGTTGTTATAATGTAGATTAATTACTGCCTGGTTTTTGTAATGTACTTTTAAAGATTGTTTAGATAATTTATAAAAAATATTCTGATTACAAAAAACCACTTCAAACATAACATGTATGTAATTGGTTGCAAATGGAAATATTTTTAGAAGAAATTATGGTTTAAAATAAAGACATTGCATTGTGATTGTAATTTGTGCACTGTTTTTCTTTTCATTAAGAAATACAATTTACAATTTGCATGTGTGGGTGTGAAAGTACTGTCATGATGAAACGGAGTGTGTGACATTAATCAAAGGTTAAATCAAGGCATGCCCATGTTAAATTATACAATGCTCTAATAAGACCGTGTTTAAAATACTGTATACAGGTTTGGTCAAGCTGATAAAAAAGACATTACTGCTCTGGAAGGAGTCCAGACATTGCAAGGATTAAGGAATGTCCTATACAGTAGTGACAGCAGAAAAGACTGAGGGTACCAGATTCAGGTATTCAAACACCTCAAAGGCACTGACAAAGTGAACCTGTGGGGAATTTCTCAGAGCCAACAGTGAAACACTAAACATAGGACACTAGGGAAAACTGTGAAAAAACATTTAGAATCTGGAATAAACTACCCAGCCATGTTCTTGAAACTGAAAACCTTTAATCCAAGAAACAGCTGGATGTGTTTCTTGTGTCCACAATCTACTTAGCAACAAAACAAACCAGTCCGGCCAAATGGCGTCATCTTTGTTTAAATTTCAATGTGAAATTTGCATGATGGCACAGTTCAGTAAGAAATTGATTGATAGTTCACTACTTTTTAGTTCTGCCCTTGGCTATTCTTTAACAACCTAGTTAGAACTGTTTTTGAAAACCAATTATCTATTTACAGAACCATTATAACTAAGGAGGGCACACTTGGCTGTGCATCTACCACAACTATATTTTCTATACTGTATATATGTTTGAAGGAAAGGAAATAAGATATACCAATTTCTAGTAGAAGTTTCTTCATTGTATTTTTTTTATATGAACTTTTTACCCCAGGAAACAGGAGATCTTCACACCATCATGGGTGACCTTATCATAAGTGAAGCACTAGTGTTGGAGAGACTAGAAGCAATTTAAAGGAGTACCTCTTTTTGGCTGTTATGTATGCATCCTACTGAGTTAGAAGAAATGAGGAATATGACACTTTTAGTCATTCCCAAAGAACTGAGAATTGCTTCAGGTAGGGAGGGAAATTGAAAGCATAATACTGTAACTCTGCATAAGACATTGGACAATGCATTATAACAGATCTGTCATCTTTACATTTATTCCAGATCATTTGTATTTCCAATAATTGTAGTAATAAGATTATCACCTGCAAATGTCATGCACAGTACCATTTTGAAAGAGGTCTTGTATTACCAACACTAATTCTCTGAAAAAGCAAAACCATCATGAACAGAATATGCAGACTTATATATCTGGATTACTGGAACAAGTAATAGGTTTATCCCATGTTGAAAAACAAAGAAGAAAACAACTTTTCGGCCGTGGAGCCTTCTTCAGGTGTGAGAGAGACAAGGCAGTAGGCAAAGGTAATGTAGCGGGAGAAGAAAGGCTGGGAGGGGGGAGGAGGAGTGAGAGGCGGGAGCAGGGGACAGAAAGGCTAATCAAGAGGTGTGAAGTCAGAACAGGTGTAGAGAGGTGTGAAATGAAACTTCCAATGAATGGAGAAAATTTAGAAGAAGAGTAGTCTGTCGTTAAGAGAAGGGGGAAGGTGTGATCCTAGCTGCAGGATAAGTTTGGTTTCGGTAGTCTTTCTGATGTATGAGTTCTCTAGAGAGAGGCACTCTCTATACCCAGTAGATGCAGGTCTAACCTCACCCAAGAAGAAAATCAGACGCTCCAGTCTCTGCAACAGAGATGATATCATCATCAAACCAGCGGATAAATGAGGCGCTGTTGTGGTGTGGCGTAAGGACCTATAAAGGAACAAGTAATAGGTTTATTCCATGCTGAAAAAAAGAAGAAAGAGAACACAACGTTTCGGCCGTGGAGCCTTCTTCAGGTGTCAACACCTGGTGTTGTTCCTTTGCAGCCTACGCATGCTGATGCAGCTACCCACCTGAACTAGTAAGGACCTATATATCTTTGAAGGCTCTAGACATCTAACTGACACTTCTGCCTACCTTCCTCTCCAACAGGACCCTACCACTGACTACCAAAAGGAAGTGGTATCCACCATATCTCTTCTTATCAGCAGTAATGAGCTCCCCCAGGAGGCGAACCGGCTCATCATTGAACATCCACAGGTATCTCAATTTTACCTCCTCCCCAAAATCCACAAACCGGACGCCCCTGGACGCCCCATCATATCAGCATGTAACTGTCCAACTACTTACATCTCAGCCTTTCTTCACAGCCTCATAAGACCGCTGGTTGAAAGTCTTCCCTCATACATCAAAGACACCAACCACGCGCTCCAACTTTTTAATGATTTCCAATTTCAGGTCACCAAATGCTACATTTTTACAATGGACATCACATCTCTTTACACCGTCATTCCCCATAATGACGGCCTTACAGTCCTCAAGCACACGCTGGACAAACGCACAGTGCTTGATCCACCCACCCACACCCTGGTACGCCTTGCAGAATTGGTCCTCACACTGAATGCATTCTCTTTCAATAACCTTTTTTACCAACAGGTGAGTGGAGTTGCCATGGGCACCAGAATGGGACCCAGCTATGCCAATATCTTTGTCGGCTGAGTAGAAGAACGCTTCTTCGCTTTCTACACTGGCTATGTCCCTGACCTCTACAAGCGATACATTGATGACTGCGTCGGTTCTGCCACATGCTCTAACGACCAGCTAGAGCACTTTCTGCATCACTTCACCAACTTCCACCCATCCCTTAAGTACACAGTTAACATATCTTCCACTACTCTTCCGTTTCTAGACATAAACCTACCCATTAACAATCCACAACTCTCTACTTCTGTCTATTACAAAACCACGGATTCACATCTAATTCACAGCTGTCTCCTGTACAGCTCATTTCACTCTAGACAAACTAAAAGTTATCTCCTCTTTTCACAGTTCCTCAGGCTCTGACAACTCTGCAGTGATGACATGGATTTCCAAAACCAAGCCCTCAAAATGCACTCTGATTTTTCATCAACAGAGGATACCCCACCCATGTTATTGACAAGGCCCTCACCCGAGCCAAAAACAGCCCTCTGATCATCAACTCAGGAACTCCCGGCCTCACAATAGAATTTCATTGGTGCTTCCCCACCACCCCAACACCCCTCAGGGCCCCTCAGGACAATTCCGGATCTCTCAGAAGATATCTGATACCTCCAGCAGCCTTATTTACTGCATCTCTTGCAGAAAATGCCCAGCTATCTACATTGGGGAGACAGGAAGGAAACTGGGAGACCATTTCAGGGAACACATCAGGGCTGTGAGGATCAAAGCTCTCTCCAAGCCCATACAGTAGTTTCTCATTTCACTTCTTACAGCCATGATCATACTGAACTCTCTGTCTGCATTCTCAAAGAGGGGTTTCTCATCTCCTATTACAGAAAGACATCCAGAACCAAAATTGTCCTGAAACTAGATACACACCTTCCACCTTCTCTCAACGACGGACTCATTTCCTTCTAATCCTCTCTAATCATTTGCAGGTTTTGACTTCACACCTCTCTTTACCCCTCTTGACTTCTCACCACCTGAGTGCCCACTCTGCTTCTCCCCTGCTCCCGCCTCCTCTCCGCTTCCAGATATTGTTTTCCCATGCTGCTCACTTTCCTCTTTCTCACACCCGGAGAAGGGTCCACAGCTGAAACATTGTTTCTTTTCTTCTCTTTTCAGCATGGAATAATCCTCCGTTATAACAAATGAGATGGCTGAATCTAGAGAACAAAAATCTTGACCTTAAAGGTATCACAAATAGTGCTCACTTACTTGAATCAATTAGATCAGCACAATTTTCCTCTTCCAATGAGAAAATAAGTAGTCTGTTCATGCCACAGAGAAAAAATACTGTTATTCAGAGATAACAATGAGTTATATCACAATACACATTGTGTTATTAAGAGATAAGAAATCACCACCAACAGGACTCTCCCTTCATACTGTAAATGCATCAACATTGCTGTGGGAGCAGATTCTAGGGACTGGAAGTTGTTTAAGTCATGTATCTTTTGTCTTTAGTGGGCAGAAAACTACAAAATTTCTATGTTCTAATCCAGGCTGAAAGTATCTCTTGATAAAGCTATCGGGTGTCGTCTAGCAGTTCCCGAATGAACAACCTGAAAACGATAGACAAAATCGTTTTGCAACTGTAACAGGTATCAGCCAGATCCCAGAGGATCAATTTTGCATGATAATTGGCAGGTGTCAGCGTGTGTTGTTTATCTTCCTCTACGTTTTGCCCCTTATTTCCAGGCCTGTTGGTACGACTGTATATGGACTGCTTGATGACTCAGAGGGCTAGTATTGTATGATGACTGACAGGTATTGGGTTGTGCTGGGTCTTGTCTTCTTCTGTCTTTTGTTTCATCTCCGTTCCTCACTTACAGGTATGATCCACACCCTAGTTGTCAGACCCTGACTATGTTAATTGAAGGGCATCTTGATGAACTGACAAGTGCAGCCACTGAGCTAATTAAATAAAAATGCAGGAGCTCCCAAATGAAAGGAGTAGAGACTAAAAATGAATTCAGACAAATGGTGTAGAGATTTTCTTTAAGAGCCTTTACAGACCTAGAAGAGGACTGTTGACCAACGTAAAGATCAGAGAAGGAGATATAGTGTACTGACAGGAAAAACGTAGATGACAATGAATGAGGTAACAGTTTATTTAATGTTGCTTTAAAACATTAGGGCTATTAAGAAAACATCCCTCTTATATACTCTCTTGCACTACCAAAACTGGTGTGCATGCTTGAACTCAAATGATGATTCAGGACAGGAGTTGCACAAAGCATGTACTGAAATGACCATTATGCCTATGGAAAGGACACATATCACAGGTATCAGTTATCCTCCCTTAAAAAAATCTAATGGTAACACCATGATAAGGATTCACTACTACCATTTGAATTCAGATCTTTATGAGATTCTTAGATTAAACAAATAACAAGACCATCTGTACAAAAGTTAAACAGGAGAATATGGCCCCTTGTGATTCACAGACATAAAAATACCAGAAACATGAGAGAATGACAGGACACTTAAGTTTCTCACGTCCTTAAAGCAAATGGTGCTTCTAGAATTAGGCTGATAAGGAGACTATAGTTCTGTCATTTTAGATGATGTTTTCTCTTCTGGGTTTTGAGCTTTTCCTTGTCCTTCATTTCAAGAAATTCATTAATTTTCAAAAAAAGGAAATTCATTTTTCCTCAGTGTGGTGCTCCGACTGCCTAAAAATAAGCAAAGGCGAATCTGAGTTATTTCCACAGAGACAGGAAATGACATACAGTATATTGAGCTGTGCTTTTGCAGTCAGAATTGTAAAATAACATCAGACACTATCCTACAGTGATCCTGTTATGTTTACATCAGAAATAATGTGTACAAAAAGCTCCATCAGTTTCTGAACTTGCACAAGTTTCACAAAGGTCACAAGGTTGTATAGTGAGGGGATGAGTTTTCTGTGCACACATTAGCTTGTGACGGGATGGCACAGTGGTGCAATGGTTAGATCCAGATCTGGTGTGCTGTCTGCATGGAGTTTCCTCTGGGTGACGTTGTTCACATGGGTTTTCTGCGGAAGCTCTAGTTTCCTCGCACAGTGCAAAATTATACCCCCTCGCAACCATGAATTGGAACAAGTGATTAGAAAATGGTTGGATGGATGCGCATACTTTAAGCTTCTGAAACAAAAGGTGACAAAAGCGAATACAGACAGACATCTCATCAAAATTACAGGGCTCCAGATACTTATATTTCTTTCATATTGTCATGAGCATTTCTGAGCTTCTTTCCAAGTTCAGCATCTGGAAAAAGTTCTTTGACCTTCCTCCTTTTCACTGGTTAATGTGGATATGCTTCCTCTAACAGAATCTACAGATATCACTGGCAGTATGTTTGCTTGATTTGATTAACATGTAGCTGTTTTTGTGACTGTATTTACATGGGAATGTTAAAAGGTCCCTGGTCAATTACTCATGTGCTGTTGGTTTGTTAGGAGAATGGAGACATCTATTTCCTTTATGATAAACCCTTGCCAAGGCCTCACTGTAGTGTGATGTAATGTTGTATAAGAATCCCGATCAGCTGATAAACATTGGAAGGAAGTCTTATCCAAGAGGAATTATCCAATCACTTTTAACAACAATCTACTGTCTCACTTTCAGAATCAAATCAAATATGCTCTTTGTGCTCCAGGGTAATGAAATTCATTACATCTAATTTTGATATATTTAAATAGATTTGTATTTAACTAGTTAACTAGCAACAAAACTGCTCGCAATAACAAGAATGACAATCAATAATGTGTTGTTTCCTGTAGACTGATGGTCAATCAGGAGGATGTCTCTCCCAGTTCTCCTATGGAATTAGGACAAACAATGTCATGATGTTTAGGCATTTAAATCAGCACAGGTGAGTGTTAGATCTTGGAGGGGAAGCTGTTTATTTGAGTTGGGATGAAAATGAATGTGAGTGATGTTGTTTTACAAATACAGTTTGTGACGCCCTCCCTATCATTTGTGAACAGGAGATACTAAAACAGCTATACTGTAGCTACATTATGCTACTCCAGCAATAATTATTAACCTTTCTATTTCTAGCAAGGTAGAAATTTCAGAGACAGACAGAAGAATCTACACATCACAACATATGTTGGTTTATATAAAAAATTGAGAATGGTATACACAAGATTTAATTTACAAATTGATTTTATTCAAATGGAGATGCTTTACGAATTCATGAAAAACATGACCATACATTTTCCTCAAGAAATACTGTTAAACTATTTGTCGCACTCTTTATCAAAGGTACCAGCCTTGATTCTATTTCAGAAGAGGTTTTCTGTATCCAAGCAAACTTCCTGATGGTATCCATGTGGTATAAAAACATGCGGTATTCTGAGCTCTGTGACATCTCTTAGCTAGTTTCAGGTAATCATTGCATGAGGTAATGCTTTTATCTTTGAACAGGTAATCAAATACAAATTCAATTATTTTACTTTAAATCAGGAAAGCTTTCTAGGCAGCACATGCCTTACTCTCACAGATGACCACAGACCTGTCATATCCCTTCTTAATCATGCATTAAAATCTCAAGAGTGACCTAGAGTTTAATTTTTAAAATTACTAACATTTACTTTTACACATTCGTGAGGATTCAGTGCAGAGAACCATTGAGAATTCGCACATAACCAAGTCCACTTCTATACTGTTGCACAATGTACTACAGTATCTAGTATGTACAGTTAAAAGACATAAGTAACCATTCGTTACATGACAAATTAAAATAGTAATGCATTGGGTTTAAGTTAACACAATACAGCAAGAGCTTTCTTGGAAGAAAGGTTGCTTTTGGGTATGAGCAATTAATAGGTAAAAAGAAAACATCTGCTTATTCACTGTCTTGACTATATCTTATTTTTGTTGTTAGACAACCAAAGGTAGCCTTTTTAATGGAAATATTGTACATTTTATATAGATAGATACAGTACTTTATTGATCCCGTGAGGGAAATTGCAGAATTGCATATGAGACTGTTTAAAAATACATCTTTCATTGTACCCCATAAAGCAGGCTTAGCACTGTTTAGCAATTATCTGTGGTTATTTGAGGGCAGGTAATGAAGAGTGGAACATGTTCTGAGATTTTACCTGTTAATTTTAGTTACCTATTGTATAATCTTTTACAGTTTTCTATTACTATCTGATTATTTAGCAAAAAAGTATTAGTTCCGTTACACATTATACATTTAGTATATTTAACTTAAGACTGCTTGAAATTAAATCCTTAAATCTCTTAGTTAACTTGAAAATTTAGTATTCCTCATCAATCTTCAAAATGTTCTTACCCATAGTTAGTTTTTTTCGAATCAATTGTTATTTTAAATTTTCCTTTGAAACGTGTGCAGCAGGGTTCATAAGACGTTCTTGATGAGAAGGGGGGTCCTAGGGGAGATATAGAAATGTCTGAAAAACCAAACTACAATTAATGGAACTCTGAATTGTGTGAAATGAGGACAGTGGTCACTGCTAAGCTTTTAAACAGATTTACCTCTTAATTGAGATCACCAATATGACATGTTTACATATCTGTAGTGTAATTTGAAAAGAGCTTCTCAATATAATTAATTTCATTAAGAAGCTCACTAGATTATTTTAAATTATTAAAAATTTTAAACTCTCTGGGGGCTGAGTTGCGCAGTGCACAGCGCGGTAATTGTATCCCAAAACTAGGGATTGCATCAAAAGTTGTCACCAAGCATTCGTTAATCTCATTTAATTGCAACAGCATTGATCAACGGTCTTCATTGTTTCCCACTCATACCTTTTGCTTCGGGGAACATGTCAAAATCAAATGCTCAGCGAGGCTCAGACACAGATCGCGGAAATGCTCAATTGACACCCCAGGTAGGCTTAGGGTTAGGATTCACACATTATTTAGATGATTTTTAAGATCAGCCCTGAATTTGGGGGCACACGTCAGGATTAGGATGGGTGGTATTGCAGTCCTATCTGAAATTTTTTTCCAGAAACTCTCTGGGGCCTGGGTGGCGCAGTGCAGCACACGGTAGTTGTATCCCGAAACTGAGTCGGTGGGATCAAAAGTTGTTACCAAGCATTATTGAATCACATTTAATTTGACATTTGTCTGTGTCAACGTTTTGTCTGTGAAGCCTTCTTAATACTGGTATCCCCATCTTATCTGGCCGGAAACTTTGCTTTCTCCTGCTTTTCCCCAAAATATTTATAACTTAGCACTGAAAACGAACCGGTGTATCTTCCAGGATGTTGTCTTGCTTTGCACCCTCGTCTTGTTTTTCCTACTGTAGTTCTTGGATAGGCTCCAGGCCACTGCAATCCTTGCCAGGAACATGCACTTTTCTGCTGGTAGATGGATTAATAAAGTTACACTAGATGTAGTCATCATCCACAAGGACAAAATACAATTCTATTTTTAAAGATATATACACAACGTAACCTGATCCGAAGTTATCCTTACCTTTTAGAAAAAAGGGATGGAACTGGCTGCTTCTTGCAGTCTTGAACGGTGTCTGGTAGAGATATTCCGCTCGTCTCAGGCAGCAGGAGACATAGGCCTGCTCCAAGTATCGGGCCACTACCGTAACAAATCATCGCCTCAAGAGAAATTCCATCTTTTGGGGACAAGACCGCATTTAAAATGCACCCAATCCGATACCACAGGTTCACAAAGCCTACACATTTCTGCCTGTGGAGAAAAAAAAAATTTAATATCAGAAGGCATTTGAGTGAATACAAACCACTGCAGCAAAGTGAGTCTGTAATGTGCAGATTACTAATACTGGTACGCAAAGGCAGTGCTTATATTAACTTTTCCATCCATCTATTTTCTAACTGCTTTAGCCAATAGAGGACAGTGGGGAACTAGAGCCCATCCCAGCAAGCAAAGGGTGCAAGACAGCAACCTTCACAATCTTTCTCATTAACGACCTTTCACTGCCAAGATGGGTTGAAAAGGAGTGAGAAAGATACATTCAAACATATCAATGATCCTGTGAGTTTTACATTGATATGGTAACCTGAAACTACAGAGAAGACCATTTGTATATGGAATCCAAAAGCCTGGGCTCTTGGATTTGTGAATTTAATCAGTTTTAGTCAACCAAAAAGGACTGGTAAAAAAAACAGTATCATTTTGATTCCAATTCATTACAATGTCACTTTTACACAACGCTCCCACAAAAGAAACGTAGTAAAACATGGAGTGTTCACGCATTGGCTGGGATCGATTGGCAGCAAACCCTGCCAGTTCACAGGGACTGGCAGACTTGCAGTGACCTCAGTGAGGGATATCCTTTTCCTTCAATCAAGTCTGAACATCTGGTACAGAGCTACTTCAATAGAGCAGCTGTCATTTTAAGGCCTTTTATCAATTTTAACAACTAGGAAGAAGACTGTAAATCATTAAGGTCATGGTTTAAGGGTGATTTAAAGACATTGGCGCAGTATGTGAATAGCAGCTAAGGTTTTCATGTGGGAACATGCTGCTGCAGCTGTTGCTGATTAATGATCTCTTTAAACAGGGTGAAGAAGGTTCATAGATGACTGTTCCTCAGTCAACATCAGTCACTCTGAGTGAGCCAGACTCTTAGTTCCTATGCGTTGAGGACTTCTAGTAAAAGGTTAACATCAGTCTCTCAGTTGCAAAGGTTAGACGGAATTGGTTTGACACGGCTGGGTAGACCAGATGATTGAAAGGAGAAGAATGGTTGGTTCTCCTGAGGGATATGTCTAGCCACCACCTGGGGAAAATTCTCTGAGGACCAGGTTTACTCGAGGTTATGCAATACAAATGTATTTTATACTATTCTTATGTTCAATAGTGCAGTACTATACCAGAATAACAATTGTTTTCCATAGTCCAAATGCCTTTGTGTGTTACAAACAGCAGGCAGGAAATAACAAGCTATTCTTCATAACTAGCATTATTTTTACAGCTCCAGTACAGGTCTGATGAAACAGTAATAAGTCAGGACCAAAAATCAAGAATTCTGCCCCTGTAATCCAAATACAACACCGAACACCTCAGACAGGACGAAGAGAGAGATGACAGATGATGAATGTTCCCCCCATCTCTCTCTCTCGTCTTCTTTTTGTCTCAGTCTTCACTGCATTTATGCAGTGGTCCATTCCACTGGAAATGGGTTCATTGACCTCCCTAGAAATATACATCACTGGTGAATGTTCTTTAATATGGTGGTCTGAATGATGTATAGTGAAGTTAATTAACTTAAGTAAATCATTAGGAGCACACTGTGTCACACATCTGTGTCTTGCCCATCTAGGTACTGTAAATACAGCAAACAATACAATGTGTTCTAAGTGATAAAGTGATGCAGTTGGGAAACATACTGTAAAAGTTTAGCAACATTTCTACCCCCAGTCATAACAATAGAAAATATCAATATATTTATTTAATAATTAAATATATAGGCACTAAACAACCTCAAGAGGATAAGTTGCTCTCAGTTTATTGTTTTTCATTCCAGTATATTCAATTCATAGGCATGATATAGTGATGTTCTCCCTAATATTTGTGAAACCAAAGAAACATGTAAGAAAAAGCCAATTATTTACCTTATAACTGTAGGAAACAGTTCTATTCCATAGAGCAGGGACACAAATACTGTAGTCTGCATACATAATTTCCCAATTAAAGCTAATGCCATTACAAGTGAAGGCATGTCTAAAGAAAAGATAGGGAAAAACAAACGATTATAATTTTTTAAAATAAAGTCTCGATGTCAACTACAACTATAACTATTATAGTCGTTATTCAACATGAACAGTTTCAGTGTATTGAAACAAGAATAATCTCATAATACAAAGTTATATTTAGGATTGCTCACCACACAACTTGGAAACCAGGAGGGACAGCAAGCAGCCCGATCCACTCATCAACAGGGAAATCATGGTGAATGTTCTACGACCAAATCTTACCAACAGTAAAGGTACCAGCAAAGTCGGCATTTCAGTCAGTCCTGAGAAAAACTGGGCGAGATAGATATTCACACCAAAATTTCCCACGTTGAAACATATTCCATAGTATGTAAGGGCAGAAGACAAACTGAAAAAAATAGTAACATCCTGTCAAGCGCAGAGATCCATGGGGACTGAAAAACACTGACAAGTTGTGAATACTGAATTAATTGTTACTACACTCCTTGGTGGTGCTCATCCCACTATGTGTTGCCACTTCAGTTACCACTGACCAGTCACAGTCAGCTAGTGACATGGCCCAGACTCAAACCCATAATCACAGAGTTCACCCTGCACGTGGGCTAGTGTCCTTATCAGCTGAGCCACTTGCAAGATCCCAGTTTTCTTTTTACATTAATTAGTTAACCAGCTTTGAAATAAGGTTTCATATTGGTCAACAGAATTTGTAATTTGTAATCCCAGATACCACTTACCTTATAAAACTCATGATACAAAGACGCTGGACTATAGTTTGCGATTTGAAGTGCTGAAAATCAGAAATTCTTTCACTTGCATTATTTTGTTCAATGGGTTGCTGGGTTTTCATTCCAACAGTCTCCAAAATCTATGAGTAACAGGTAAAATATAGAGTAACTAACAGTTTATTAACTAGAATAAACACTAAATGTCAGTACTTATAATGCATATTCATACATGCATTGCCACATTACATCAATATTAAATAAAAATGTATCTCTATATCATCTTTCTTTCACACTGAAATTAAGTTAAAGATATGTATATGATATGTATTGTCAAACTGCATCCCCACATTTAAAATGATCAACTGCAGGGGTAATAATAATTCCTTTTAATTATATAGCACCTTTCTGGACACTCCACAGTACAGTGTCCCCATCACTATACTGGGACATTAGGATCCACAAAGACCACAGGGTGAGCCCTTCCTACTGATCCCACTAACACCACTTCCAGCAGCAACCTTAACTTTCCCAGGAGGTCTCCCATCTATCTAGGTACTGGCCAAGCTCACACCTGCTTAGCTTTAGTGGGCTGCCAGTTGTGAGTTGCAGGGTAATATAGCCGCTGGCATTCATGGCATTTTCTATTCTGAATTTAGACAGGCAATTAAAATAAATATTTGTTAACTTCCACAAGTAATAAGTAAAGAGCTGAATGATACTTTTCTTGATTACAAGTAATTAAAAAGGTTATAAACAAGGATAGATTATTTGGGCCATCAAATGTATACAGTTTCGTTCATTCAGTTCAGCTTTTTCTTGAATGCCAGTGTTAAGAGTTTGTTTGCCGAAGGCTGCTTCAACAAAGTCACTGTGCTGCTTGCTGTTTCTGACTCCCATAATCTCTGTGCAAAGAAGTGTAATATTGCATTCCAAGCACAAAATGAAAACTGAGCAAGTCCTTACTAGATCCAGATTTTCCTGGTCCTTTCTGCTTTCATGTCTGTACTCTTCTAGCGTACTGAACCTTTTCTTCATCAGTAGCCACCTCGGTGACTCTGGAATACAGCTACCAAAAAACAAAAAATGTTGAATCAACACCGGAAGAAAAAGGCTAGAAGTATTAAAATGCAAAAGGAGCAGATACCGTATGTATTTCTTACAAGTAAAGAGGGATACAAAGAAGCTGTGGAACTGCAATGGCTAAATAAAACTGTTGCCAGTTTGATGCAAGATATGCAATCAGAGCCAGAAACATCATCCCAATGCTGAAGGAAAAGGAAAGCAAGGCGGGGGGCCATACGTGGTATCTGGGCAAGCTCCACTCAACTCCTGAGGAAACAGAGAGAAAATGGTCATAGAGTTCTGAAGCTATGTGCCATTATGAACATTACTTCAGAAGAACAGTCAAATTAAACACTGTATGGCATGAAGCTGTCTTAAATAACTGAATTATTTTTTTTTAAAAATTAACTAATGATTTTAATAATGTTGCACAGAATGTATTTTTTCTTTCTGTAAATTGGAATTAATAATTGGTTATTTATTGTTTATACAGTACTCCCCTCAATCTGCAATTCCACACATAATCGTATTTCATACCAGCACAGAAGCACACAGACACGTTCCATTCCTTCCAAAGGCACGCAATTAAGCAGCTCATCCCAGACAGCAGAGCTAGGAGGAGGCACCAGCTCTCCCTGACATCACTGTAGTTTCACACTGGCAGCACCAGACAAGTGCAAACCAGGGACACCTAGATCAAATTCAGCTTATACAACCCTGATGGGTCTCGCCAATTGAGCTGCTGTCTGGGAACAACCATACTCAATCCATGACACAGTGCCGACTCAAAACTGCAATATCTGGACCATAGGGTTCACCCTTACTGAGAAATTAAATATCTCCTGTTTGCAAAAACATGGTACGATAGACTGAATAATACTGACTTAACTGATCATGTCATGTACTACAGCAAAGAAAATTCTCCAAGGTCTTCCAATACAATTCTCACATCCTTCATTTTTTTTCAAACTCTCCTAACTGCAAGTTCACGATCTACAGCCTAAAGAGATGCACCAGAATATCGGTGTGCATAATTCCAGCTCTTGTGAAGCGAGCCTTACCTCCAAGAAAAAGTGAAAAGTGTCTTACCCAAACTAAAGGAAGCGATGTTTATACCACAGCACATTATTCCACCAATCAGACGAGCAGTTAGATGGAAAATGGCATTGGGTATAAATGCAGGCATCAATGCTATGATTGCCTGTATAGTACTGCATCCCACAAGGAGGACTTTCTTTCCATATCTTTATTAAAAAAAAGATTGTTAGACAGCCCTATGAAAAGCAAGAAATAAAGCTAAAGACACTCAACAGCACAAAATAATAAGTCATGTTTAAAGTAGTGAAAATAGAATGTAGAAGGTTTAATTTGGTATTCTGAGTTGCAAAACAAGCATCTGAAGCACCACTGGAGAATTTCAAAAACAATTTGTTGCTTTTCACAAAAAACAAACAAACTTATCATCCATCCATCAATTTTCTAAACACTACATCCAACTGATGGTTGTGGGGGATCCAGAGGCTATCCCAGAAAGCAACGGGCACGAAGCAGGGTACATCCTGGATGGGACACCAGTCAATCACTGCGCACACACAGGCACAAACACATACACATTCACACCAGGACTTATTTTCCCCAGAAGCAAATTTACCTGCCAGTTTGTCTTTGGACTGTGGAAGGAAACTGGAGCACCCAGAGGAAACCCAAGCAGGATACAAACTCCACACTAATAGCACCCCATGTCCAGAACTGAACCCAGTGCCCCAGCACCACGAGATAGAAATGTTAACCACTGCCCCACCATGCCGTCAAAATGATAATCTGTGAGCTTAACGTTTTAAATATAATTTACAACAGCCAAGAAGAGATATTTAAAAAAATTAAAAACAATGAAAGTTGACCCTGGTTGACCCGTCAGTTACATAGTCATTAGGGATTTTACTGAAGGGGAAAACTAACTGAGGATATTTGGGTAAACTGAAAATGAGAAGTCCCTGACCACAGCAGTATATTATACAACCACCAAGATAACATAGAAGCCTACGGTATATCATCTCCACAACCCCATGAGGAATGTGTAGTGTTGAAGACGGTGTTATAGTAATGGGGGATTTTAAATCACTGAACACATATAGTAAATACAGGAAATCACCAAAATGGATTCCCGGTAATAGTCACTGTAACAGTCTCAACCTGTCACACTTACCATGTTTTAATTAGACCACATTTGGAATATTACATACAGTACAGTTGTGGTCTCCACATGGCAAAAAAGAACAAAAAAGCTTTATAATAAGTCCAAAAGAGAAGCAGCAAAAGTCATTCTGGAACTAAAGTAGGTGATATAATATGAGGACACACTGAAGAACCACGATCTCTTTAATATCTGAGAAAGATAGCTAAAAAGCAGTTTACAAAAGTTTGAAGAGAATGAAAGTTGACCTAAGATGTTATTTTCAATTAGGCTCAGCAAGCAGGAGGTCTGAAAGATGAAGTTATGCAGTCCTCATTAGCGATTTTACTGAAGGGGAAAAATTGCAGAGGATAACAAAATGCACAATTTACAGCTCCATTCCTGTTATTCGCAGTAATATGACTTGCAGATGCATCTATATAGAATCTTGAAATTCCTTTATTTTGGGTCAGCAGTTGCTTTTCCCATCTTAATGCATGTAACAAAACACTGAAAAACAATACATTGTCCTTTTCTAGCAGTAACTGTAATTAACTGTTCTGAATAATTTAATTTAAAAAATGGAAAAGGACTGTGTTCTCACATGAAGGCTGTCACCTAACTCATTAGCTGTTTTCATTAGAAGTGAAGTAGTTTAATGTCTTTTACTCTGTTCTCTTCTACACTTCCTTCAATCCATTTTCCAAACAATCATATACAGCCATGAATTTCACTATGGCCTGGTGACTTGTGATGCAGATGAGAAGAATCATAAACTACACATCTAATATCGCCAACATTCATTTCCTCTCTTCCGTTAACCAAATTTCATTTGAAATTATTTTTATCTCCTCTTATTACATTAATTCCTAACTTCATTGTTTAGCTCCAAATCACGTTTCTTAAAGGCAATCTTACTTGTCTGAGAGAGCACCACCAAACAGTGAACCAAGCAGGAGTCCACTCATATACATTGTTAGGCCGTACTCCCGAAGTTTGTTGTCTCCACATTCTGAACTCTGCGGTACAAAACAGATAGCAAGCTTCATATTTTAAAAACTGAAAGGGAAAAAGAAAACCTGGACTCTTCCACTAAAAAGCGATTTTATTATTTTTCTATACTTACAGTAAAATAGTTAATAGTCACTTAATATGATATACTCTATGATTACATTATATGGATAGGCTTTTTTTAGTACTTACAGTTCTGTTTACAGCATGATTTACCATTACATGCTTGTTTTTATTTTCAGTACCTTTAAATGTTATTCATGTTCTATAAATGATCTCCAAAGACAGACGTGCACACAGCCAATAAATCTTAAAGAGCTTTTGCACGCTCAAAAACATGTCTCATTCACGATCACGGTTTTTCTTGCTGAACAGTCTTAAAGCTTCCGTCAGCAAATCTGACAAAATTGCCAAATGTGGTGATGTTTTGCATTGACGTGTTGTTATTCATGTCAACTTTCTTTAGTGGTGCTGGTCTGTGCGTTCATTTTTTAAGATACCATCGAACATAAATGTTACAAATGAGAGCTACTGTAGTAGCTACCGTAATTGATCTAAGGCAGCTGTTTCTTGAAAGAAACTAGAATATCGGCTTCAACCTACATTACCTAAGTAGGTTTCTATAGCAAATATCTATCGAGTTGTGACCATGTTTTTAAGAGTACTCCGCGATTTCATTAACAACAACTTGAAGAAGTGTAACACACCTCTTTTATTGGTACTCACGTTAAAACTTTCTGCAAACGCGATCGAGAGAGACCTGTTTTCGTTGGATATGTCGTATGAGAAGTTCTTCTCTGGTGACTCATCTAAAAAGTTCACATTTCCAGACTCCCTTAAACTTGCACAAGAAAAATGATGTACCGTAAAAACGTCTACAAAAAACATAAATGCCGTAAAAACAAATATTAGACTGAGCCGCCAATACACGCTCTTCTGTAAAGGACCCATTACTCGAAAGACACAGATTCGCCTCTCCTCACTCGTGGGTATTAATAGCTCAAGCTGCCTGCCTGTCAGGCGCACTCCATTTCTAATTAATGGTTACCTAAACGGCACACAGACGGCACAGTGGCGCGGTGGTTAGCATTGTAGCTCTGTGTTCATTTTCTGGGGTGCTACAGTATCTATTACCCTCTGCAAAAACAATACATTGTTCTTTCTCTGGCAACAATAGTCAATTTATTTTACGGGTCTTTATTACAAAGGCTCCTGAAAAGCACATGGACATACAGTAAAAGGGGTTTCTCTCAAAGTCTGCGAAGAGTACCTCCAAAATTCTTTTTCCATTTCTTTTTTCAAAAACGTCTTGGTTTTCAAGCTTAGCCAACGCGTTACTCGATAAACGGCAGTTTTCACTGGGTGCAACGTGTGTGTGGAGTTTGTTATCGTGGGTTTCCTCTCACAGTCCAAAGACACACTGGAAGGTTAATTGGTTTCTGGGAAAACTGGCCCAAGGTGCGAGTGTCTGTGTGTCTGGACTGTTATGTACTGCTTGCTTGGATAGGCAATCCTATAATAGAAAAAGCGGCTAAAAATGGAGGGACAGATAGTGCCTGTGCATTCATTTCTAATGGTTCAGAGATTTAAAATTCGGTTCAAAATATACTGAATATTTTTTTTGTTCTTTAAATATTTGCACAATGTACTTAACTGATAATGTTTCTTTATTAGCCCTATACAATTTCTTCCATTAGGAATTCATCTTTTTCACATACCCCAGCTTTATTCCATGAGACACAGACAGGGAGAGAAGCCTGGGGTCAGAGCACAGGGTCAGCCATTGTACAGCACCCCTGGAGCAGTTGGGGTTAAGGGCCTTGCTTTTAGTCCAGAAGTATTAAGACCAACCTTGAAGTGATACAGTATACCTTGGACTCTTTTACTGTATATACCTTGAACTATTCTATTAAAAAACTTCATATTTCCCCATTATTATCCATCCATCCTTTTTCTAACCTTTTTATAACATACAGGGTCACGGGGGAGGCAAATCCCCCTATTATTACAGTATACAGTGCCTTGCGAAAGTATTCGGCCCCCTTGAACTTTTCAACCTTTTGCCACATTTCAGGCTTCAAACATAAAGATATAAATTTTTTATTT